TAACTCTGTAGAAATATATGTTGAAGAAGGAGGGCATATTTTTCTTTTGTGATTTAATATAAATAGTTATTAATTTCCAGAAAATTATATACAATGCACAAAGAATGAATGGGGCACTGCTAATTACTTCCATATGTGCTAACTCACCTTATTCTTAAACATTTTTATTATGTGCTTTAAAGATGAGAGATACTGTGGCTCAGAGAGATAAGGTAACATGTCTGGCAATAAGTAGAAGGGCTAAGACATAAGCCAAGTATGACTCAAAACCCTGTCTGTTTCCTTTCCATTATGCCATGCAACCAACAGTTTTCAAGTGAGTTGAGTTCATCTTACTTGTTAATGGTATCATTATCAATGAGACCAGTGAAATTTTTTTCTCAGCATTCTGAAAGTTTTAGAATGTTCTCATCTCTCTCCCAAAATATATACATCATCTTACCTTAAATTCACAATTTGGATAGTACAACCTGAAAACACTGAGAAGCTTTTCAATCTGTAACTCTTCCTGTGCCGTATGCTTTCTGAGAATGTGAGTGTAAGCGATCCAAAACACGGACACGAAAATATTAAAAAGGACTTTATTTTCAAGTTATGGGACACTGTGTGCCAGGCATTGTTCTAAGTGTTTTACACTCACTATTGTATTAATAATATTTTCATTTCATAAAGTGGAAACTGAAGCCCAGAGAGTTTAAATAATTTGCTCAAAGTCACACAGAGCTGGGGTTTGAATGCAACTCTAGACTCTGTTCTGTCAACCACAATTCTGTGCTGCCTAAGCTTCTGCTCCTCAGTCGGAATGAGTTATAAGTGCATGCCTCTTATTTTTGTTACATGAAATATTATCTATTTCAATTTTGGCTCCAATCGAGAAGGTATTCTTCCTACCAAGGTAAACTAAACACCTCCTTCCTTCAATAGGCCAAACCAGACTCTGCATATACATACAAGCAGACAGAATTATTCCTAGTGTATTAAATAAAGCACATTGTAGAGCTCATTGGAAGAGCTCACACCCTTAGCAATATCATTGAAATGTGTTGGTTCTTAAAGTGAGTGTTGGCTAGCTAATCAATTGAGACTGTGAGTTTTTATGACCTTTCAGTGTAGACTAGAGAGCCACAAGAACAGGGCCGAGCACTTCTTAGAGAGTTATCAGATCCCTGAACTAGAGGAGAACCCAGATAGCCATACCTAGATTTATAGATTCATACAATCTCCTAAGTGGAAGTTTATGCCAGACCCTATCACATAAATATTGATATATTTTTCATTCCATAACTGAGTTATTTTATTCTCAACTAATTTTCAAACAGCATAAAGTTTCCAAGTTAATAAAAACAACTCTGGATATCACTTCACTATGGGTATATTTCTAGTTTGAGTGCGTTCTACCTGAACAATAGTATCAAGATTCTGTCATTCAAAGTTCAAACATTCAGGTAAGTAATCCTCTGTATAAAAATAATTCATGCTTCACATTATATGAATTCTGAGAGATAAGTAACCAATCCCAGGCACAACGTAAGATGTCAAGCATAATGAATGAACCAAGACAGAGCATCCTCCTTTCCAAAGGTCAGTAGTCAGTTTTGATGGGACTTTTGTCTGTACTGGCTTCTGAATTTCCATCAAAATTAATGTCTACAGTACAACTGAGGTCCTGAAACACAGTTGAGAAAGTCAAGAAAATGGGTACAATGAGAACTTTCACAAGCTGTGCTGGTGACTATGAGAATGTTGTTGTGGTGAGATATTTTATGTGTCAACTAGACTTGGCCATGGGGTTCTCAGATATTCGGTCAAGCATTATTCTGGGTGTGCCTGTGAATGTGTTTTTGGATGAGATTAACATTCAGATCAGTAGACTGAGTGAAATAGATTACCCTCCATTAGGGTGGCTCTTATCCAATCAGTTGAAGGTCTGTATAGAACAGAAAGGCTCCCTGGAGTAAGAAGAACTCTTTCTGCCGGATTGCCTTGAGCTGGGATATCAGTGTTTCCTTTGCCTTTGAACTGAGATATCGACTCCTCTTGGGTCTTGAGCTTGCCAGCTTTCAGACTGGAACTTACACCATTTGCTCTCCTGGCCCTCAGCCCTTTGGACAGACTAGAACTATACCATCCATTCTCCTACCTTTCCAGGCCTCTAGTTTGCCAACTGAGATCTTAGGACTTCTCAGACTCTGTAATGCATGAGCCAATTCTTCATAATCAATCTCTTTAGAGAGTTCCATGCATATATACAAATATATACATATATATATATTCTTTTTGTTCTGTTTCTCTGGAAAACCCTGACAAATATAGTTGTCTTTTCAGAAAGTTAAGGGCAGATGGTTTATTCCTTTCCCAAAACTCTGGGGCATATTGTTCCATTTTTCTCTGGAGCTGAGGTCTCTCATCAAAGAAATCAAGAGGTTCATTTTCAAGGACAAATTATTAGCTCTGCCTGTCTGTGAGAAAATGATAAGGCTAAAGTAAAGTGAATTCTATCATTGCTTTAAATTGTTGTAATGGCCGCATGATGGCTGCATATATCTCTGGGGAATAAACAATTTTTCATCACTTTTTAGTGGGTCTTTCTATCTCCTCATTAGCTCTGAATTCAGAGCTAAAAAAATGAGTAGGTAGAAAAATCTGGCAGCTAGAAGGTCACTTTTTCCCACCCAATGTATACCACAACAACAGCTGAAGGGGAAAAACTCTCTTCCTCCTCTGATCTTAACATAAGGTTATCTGAGGCTCATCTATGACACATCACCTTATACCTACATGACTGCTGGAGTGATTATAGTTATTTATAATATTGACTAGTCTTTAGTAACCCTTAATGGCAGCCTCCATGTAACACTCAAACTCTTAGCTAGTGTTATGTGTGATGGAACAGAACAAATATTTATTGAATGCCTCAGTTAGTGGTGATTGGTTGAATATACCATTCTGTATATTTGGCAGGGGATTATACAAAATTTGGAGTCTCACCAGGTATGTTACAGTGGTCAGGTGAAGTTAGACTTTCCCACGTGCTTTAGATATTGGGCATGAATTCCTCATGCTTAGCATTGTTAAACTCAGTTGTCCATTCATACAACCTTTGCTCTGTTGAATGGGATGAATGGACATGTCTTCTGACTTTGACTGATCATTTCCATCTATGACTATCTTTTTTTATCTTTATTACATAAAATTGAATGTCATATCTATGTATAATTGCTTATAATTCACATTTTATATATAGTTGCCTTACTTATCCTGAATTCCAAAAAATGATCCTACATAAAACAATCAACAATTTCTAGATCCTTAAAAATAGTTTTTGAAGAGAGTGGTAAAAACAGAATTTTTCAAGAAAATTAAAGTCAGATGCATAATCTGAAAGAAAATATCAAACATGAGAACTCAGTATGTTCTAGTCAAAAATTAAATGTATATTTAGCTCATATTTATGGAAGGAAGCAGTACTAATAATTCTGTGGTCAAGAAGTCACCTCAACTTTACCTAAAAGAAAAATGCTAATTATTTTAAGGAAGATGCCTCTCCTTGATCATATGGGTGAATATTTGTGAATTTTTTTGAGTGTATCTGGATTTAGTCTTTAGCCAAAACATACATCTGAAGTTTGAGACTGACTTTTCTACAGCTGGTAGAATCAGCCTCATTTCTTTCTAGTATGCTGTTCAAATCAATGGTTTGTCTATTATTTGTTTTAGGAGAATTAGTTTCTATAATTCAAAATTAAAGTCTAAATGGGCTTTTTATTACATTTAAAAATCAATTATAGCTAAAGTTGGCATTGTGTTAATACCATTATTTTAAACAAAATAAAAGATGCTTCAGTCTCCCCTTAAAACGAGCTGACACTTTGTCAGCTTCCCAATTGTTCTTCATCTGTAACTTCTCCTTGATAACCAGTCCATGAAGCGGGGGGACAGGACTTCTCCAGAACAGTGCAAAGCATCAGCCAGTGTAAAGCTACCCTCTTTGCCTGGATGTACTATTTTTATGCTTTGCTTTTGCTTTGTTTTTCCCAGTGTTTTTTCTGTTGCATTTCTAGACTATGTAGATGGAAATAAGAATAAAAAATATGGCGATAAGGTGAAATAGAGTTAACAATATAAAAATAACTTCTTTATTCATTTGATGTATTATGTAGAAGACAAATAATGAAAAGTTAAAAGCATAATAATTTCCATTTCTAATTCTTTGAAGGTAGACTATGATGATTATTTAGGACATTTGCTGTGAAAATGTTATCAGAGTCACTCATAATTTTGAAGGCTTTATTTTTCCAATTTTTAAAAAAGTTACATGATCTTACAAGTTTACTTCATGTATTTCTCATTTTATATATACCAAAGGTGGTTATAATTGAGAACCTAAGAGATTTGTCATGTATATAAGTACCAGGTAGGATGTAGGCAGATAAAAACCCCCAAACAATTATAATTTCAAAACAATAGGAAGATTCAACATTATCATTTTCCTCTGCCCAATAATCTTTTTCAATTTCTGTTGCTCCATCATCCAGAATTTATTCAGTTTAAAACTAAGGATGGCAAAGCATGAGCACTTCTTTAAGTGATAACATTTTAGGCTGTTGACTGTGGTTTATAACATCATCTCTTCGGATGCCAGGACCAGGCTTTGTTAGAAAGTAGAGAAGACAGCAAACACACACTCTATACTTCTGAGAGAGGGCAAGCTGACCACAGAAACAGACCAGGAACAGTAGCTTCTGAGCAGAGGAAAATTCCACAGGCTTTATGCATTTACCAGAACTGGTTCCACTCATCCCAGACCCACAGCACTGAGGCACATCATTGTATATTCTCCGGGACTGCATTTTTTTAACACAAGGTTTCCTAAATATTTTAGTTGCCATGTAATGTGTTCCTTTGTACTCTTTCACCCTGTCCTCAGACCGATTGATCTACTTTGTCTCTTTCTGGGGATTTTACCCAGGAATATTTTCAGAGAAAGAAAATTAACTTACCTGGTGTTTCTGTGGCTTTGATTGAACTCTGAATCTCAGCTTTAGAGGAAAGAAAAGAAAATTGCTAAAATTAAATGTTGAATATCAAATGTACTCTCACAATTATTTCAGGTGGTAAATAGATATAGATCTTAGCTCATTTCTGATTTACTTTCATCAAATCATAAAATCAAGAGGCTTCCTGATTAGAAGAAACTTCAGAGCAGGGGTCAGCCAACTTTTTCTTAAAGGGCCAAATAGTATTTTAAGCTTTGTGGGTCATAAGTCTCTAGTGACTATTCAACTTTGCCATTGTAGTGTGAATGCAGCTATACATAATACCTAAAGAATATGTATGGCTGTATTCCCATTAAACTTTATTTACAAAAACAGGTGTGGGTCTGGATTGGCCTGTGAGCTGTATTTTGCTGAATCCTCTTTTGGAGCACCTAGTACAACCCCACATCTTGAATGCGCCTAGATAACCCAGACAACTACGAAACTTTGGTAGGTACTTCATGAGTGGCACTGCCATGTGTCATATTCCTACTAAGATATTGTGCATCTCCTGACCTGAGGAAGATTCAGAATGGTTCATACAGATTCCACTGAAACAGGGAATTCCTCTAAAGAATATATAGCTCAGAAGAGCTTCTACAAATAAAATCACCTTAGAGAATTATAATCAAAGATCACTTCAACTACTTGGAGTGTTTGCACCGTGAACCAAGATTTGCCAGATGAAAAAATATAGAAAAAAATGGAAACAAATAGAAGCCCAATAATGATAGTTTAATAATATTCACTTGATTCCTTTGTATTTTCATTTGACTGTCTCACCAGCATCTCAAATTTAACATGCCTGAAACAGAACTCTTTTTTATTGAAATATAGTTGATTTATAATGTTGTGTTAATATCAGGTGTACAGACAGTGATAGTAATTCAGTTTATATATATATATATATGTTATATATTATATATATATTCTTTTTATTCTTTTTCAGATTTTTTTCCCTTATATGTTATTATAAAATATTGAGTATAATTCCCTGTGCTATATAATAAGTCCCTGTTGGTTGTCTATTTTACATACAGTAATATGTATATGTTAATCCCAAACTCCTAATTTATCTCCCTCACTTCCCCTTTGGTAGCCATAAGTTTGTTCTCTATGTCTGTGGGTCTATTCCTGTGGGTCTATTCCTGTAAATAAGTTCATCTGCATCTTTTTGTTTTAGATTCCACATATAAGCAATAGTATAGTATTAGACTTTCCCTGTCTCACTTACTTCACTTAGCATGATAATCTCTAGGTCCATCCATGTTGCTGCAAATGGCATTATTTCATTCTTTCTTATGGCTGAGTAATAGTCCACTGTATCTATATACCACATCTTCTTTATCCATTCATAACTCTTGACTAGCATCCTCAAACCCACCTCCGCCCTCACCATCTTAGATCAAAGCATGGTACAATTGTCTCCCAGGTGCACAAGCCACAAACTAGTGGCCTTTCTTATTCACTTCTTTTTCTCACCCCATCAGCTCTAGCTTCAAAATATATTCCAAATATGTCTCACCATTCAATCGAATACTGTTCATCTAGCACCTGTATCTGTCCCCTCGGTACCTGCAATAGCCACCTAGCAAACTCTTCTGGAATCTGAATGTGGCTGTGCTCCAAGGGCGCCTTATTCTTCTACTCACTGCAGCTGGCAGTTCTTCAGAGCACGTGGCTCCTACCTTCCTCCTCAATTCACTCCAGCTGTTTCAGCCTGCTGGGCGTCTCTGTGGCAGATCAACGTCCCAGGGCTCCTCCTGCCTCAGGGGTCCCCGCTTGCTCTTCTCTAGCCTCAGTGTTGCCCTCTCAGGTCTGCACTGGCTCCTTCCCACCCTTCACGAGTCTGCTCAGGTTCCACCACCCAGAGGAGTCTTCTCCAGCCACCTTGTCTAGCGTTGTAGACCTCATTTCCCTCCACGCTAGTCCACCACTCTGCCTCATCTGCTCAACTGTACTTTTATCACTCCAGGGACATTGATTTTTTAAAAAATATGCTTGTTGTTAGTTAGAATGTACCTCCAGGAGGACAAAGATTTCTTGTTTTACTCAGAGCCGTAACCGCAGAGCCTACTACCAGGTCTCTGGTAAAAATATAAGGAATGAACGAATAACAGTAGAAAGTAATAATAATAAACCTAATTCTACCTCTTTGAATTCCATTTTTAAGAGAAAATGAATGCCTTACTTAATATTCCTGCTTGGATAATTATAGCTACTAATTTTCAAGCAACTCTTATGGTCAGTTCCATACATTGATTGCTGATGTCTACAAGAAAGATGTTGTTATTTCCATTTTTCAGATCTGCAAATATTAGTTGAAAGCAGTGAAACTGCTTTCTCAAAGGGAGGACCGTGATTATAATTCAGGTCTGTTGGTTCTAAGGCCCATTCTCTTTTACTCAAAGAGACAGCTTTTCCTTCCACTAAACTGTTCTGAGTGGAAAGCTTATGTAATTAATTCCTACTTTTGATAACTAGTTAAAATACTTTTGAACATGGCATAATGTTGTATTTGAAAGTTGCAGTTAAAATATTTATCAGCTGCCAGAGGATTAGAATACAAATGAAATCCAAACCTTTTGTTCCTCCTGCTTTTAATATCAGGTCATAACCTTCTTGCTGATAGACTTTACAGAGAATGAAAAATTTTTAAACTCATATCAGACAAAACCTCTGACTATCCTTTTTTGCATTTTTTTCATCCTTCAAAAATGCATAATGAGAGAATGGACTTGGGGACACAGGGAGGGGGAATGGTAAGCTGGGACCAAGTGAGAGAGTGGCATGGACATATATACAGTACCAGTTGTAAAATAGATAGCTAATGGGAAGCAGCTGCATAGCACAGGGAGATCAGCTCGGTGCTTTGTGACCATCTAGAGGGGTGGGATAGGGAGGCTGGGAGGGAGACGCAAGAGGGAGGGGATATGGGGATATATGTATACGTATAGCTGATTCACTTTGTTATACAGCAGAAACTAACTTACCATTGTAAAGCAATTATACTCCAATAAAGATGTTTTAAAAAATGCATAATGATTTTAGAGGGACATATTACACAAAAGAAAAATAACTATGCCTTAAAGATGTAGCTGAATATTAAAAAAATAACATATAACAATTCAAAATCCGGGCTTCCCTGGTGGCGCAGTGGTTAAGAATCCGCTTGCCAATGCAGGGGACACGGGTTCAAGCCCTGGTCCAGGAAGATCCCACATGCTGCAGAGTAACTAAGCCGGTGCACCACAACTACTGAGCCTGCACTCTAGAGCCTGCAAGCCACAACTACTGAGCCTGTGTGCCACAACTACTGAAGCCCACGCACCTAGAGCCGGTGCTCTGCAACAAGAGAAGCCCACTCCCAGCAACGAAGAGTAGCCCCTGGTCGCTGCAAACAGAGAAGAGCCCGCGCGCAGAAACGAAGACCCAACGCGGCCAAAGAGAAAATAAATAAATCTATTAAAAAAAATTCAAAATCCTTTTATTGAATCTTAAGAGGTCCAGACTTTCATATATGAATGAATATATTATTATTCTGAGGACAAAATTCTGTAAATCTTAAATATTTAATCAATACTGGAATATATATACATTTTTATCCTAAAATCAAGGATGTATTATTCTGAAGATAATAAAGTGTTTTCATATGGCATACTATTTTCAAATTTGGATTCAGTTCTGTGGATATAAAATCTTAATAGAGAGGAATGCTATGGAATATGGCTAAAGTATTATTCTTGTTTTTTTTTTATTTATAAATTTCATAATGCAAATGTGTTTTTAAGAAAAGGAAGTAGGTGAAGTCAAATAGCAAATAAGTGTGTAACCTAGTCTCAAACTTAGATGTTTAGTAAAAACCAAATCCTTAACCAGGGTGGCAGGCAACTTAAAATTTCTTGGTTGAGTTTGTCTCTAATATGAAACTGAAGTCTTATGAAATGCAAATGAACTTTGAAATGCTAAACTTTAATCCACAATTTAATCCAAAGCTAAACTTTGCTTAAACTATCAGCTTTTAAAACAGAAATAATAAGCAATAATACAACAAGTAACTTTGCTAAATATTCTTATCTTATGAAGGCCATTATATTTACAGCTATATATAGCTGTATATAATTACACACAGAACATGATTTATCATTAACAGGCCCAGGAGAAAAAATATATACAGTCATTCTCATATATAATTCTTTTCTGATTTGCTTAAAAATAATTTACTAGGACCAATTCAGATTTTCCTTCTTATTTCCACCCCCGCCCCCTTCCAAACAAAGCATTGACTGCGCCACTGTACATGAGATGAGTTCTGGTTTGGCTAAACTGTGACTTGTGACTAAGACCTTGTTATCCTGAGTATTCCTCCTTTATCAGCCCACATGAAATGATACAAACTAATTAAATATCATGTAAGAAACATTGTAATTAAGTTCCCCCAAAAATGTCATAGATAAATGGTGACATTCACAAGAGAACTAATGAGGATAGGTGATCAGATAAATTAGTGTTTTCCAAAGCATGAGATGCATAGCATTGTAAGAGAGATTCTATGAGACAGTACTGGAAAGTGGCATTAAATAAGATTGAAACACTAAATGAGAAAGTTATTTTCTTTTCAGCTTTTTTGTTTGTTTCAATGACGAAGTTTCAAAATTTCAATTTGATGCAAATATGTTATTAATACGTAGCATGTACTTAGCATTTTTTTTTCACTCCACAGCGGGAAGAATGCAGTCCCCAACAATCACAAATTATTCAGCGGAGTTTTCCACATTTGGGAAAATCACAGGGGTCAGCACAGCACATCCAGTAGTGCTATGGATAAGCCTCGACGGGGGAAAACCACCTTCATGACCCTGGTATCTCCCCTTCCAGGTAAGTATTTGATTTATTTCTTAAACAAGGACAAGCAAGCCTCAAACTCAGAGCCTTTGGCGAGCAACAAAATCTAGCTAGAATTTTGTTTTATTTTGCTTACATCGTAGTGACTTTCTAGCTTCTGTTTATGCCAAGTCAAACTGGTTTTTCATTTATGATGGTTTACTTTTCAAACAAATTTAAGAATAAAAAGTGAATCAATTGAAAGAAAGTACTAAATAAATAATAGTGCAGATGGTACGCATATCTGGCAACACTCATTAAGTGGTGGGAAATACTGAGGTAGCATCTTGCGGAGGCTCTTGATAGTTGCGTAGAATTTGAATAAGCAAGTGGAGAAAGGACAAGGGGATGAAAGAAGGACCATACAGATGAGGTGGGCAGCATGAACAAATACCACAGTCAGGAATAAATCTGGTAACAGCAAGAGAACCACCCTGGTGAGAATCAGAGGTTTATATTCAGCCAGCCTATCAGTCCGTCAGTCTCTCATATTGATTGACTTCCTTGGAAAGATATGTGTACCTAGAACCAGTGAATAGTACCCCTGACTAGTACCCCTGACTTCCTTGGAAAGATATGTGTACCTAGAACCAGTGAATACAGCCTTATTAGAAAAAGGATCTTTGCCGGTGTAATTATGGATCTTGAGATGAAATCATTCCAGATCGGGGTGGGCCCAAAATCCCAAGAAATTGTCTCTATAAAAAAGAAGACACAGACAGAAGAGGAGACACAGAAGGGAAGGCCGTATGTAGACACACAGGGAAAAAGACAATGTGAAGACAGAGGCAGAGATTAGAGTGATGTATCTCTAAGCCAAGGAATGCAGAGAATTACTGGCAATTTCCAGAAGCTAGGGGGCATGTCGGGTCACCGATGCTCTCCAAAAGATTTTTAGTGAATAAATTAATTTACTAATTAATCCAAAGGGCCCTCGTTTCTTTATAAAGTCAGATCACTGAATTAATGAGGATTTCTATCTTAAAAATCCTAGTATTCTAGAAATTTGTCTTCTACGGGCAGAATAAAAGAATAAAACAGGAGAAATACACACAACTTTAAGAGAATGGGAAACGATTAGAAATGTTTTGAGAACATGCTGTTTTGATCTACATTCCACCTTTCTAGGGGGTAAAGCCACAGACCTCAATAGCTCTTCTCTTCTCTTCTCTAAGTCAAGCCTGCATTTGAGATAATGTACCCACAGTGCCTTTATCTTATAGTCACTCTGCGAGGACCCATTGCCCATATGTTTAAGAGGTGTTCAACCTTCCCCTGCCTATAGACTGTTTTGTTCTCCTTCTGTTTCTCTGTCTTGGCTCCACTAATTTTGAATGCTTGTGTGTGTGAGGGGTGGAGATGGAAAGGGAGCATTGCCCTGCTAACCAGGAATCTGGGCAGGCTCCTGGTCTCATCAGGCGCCGATGGAAATGTGTGCAAACTCATTATATCAAGTGGAGTCCGTGCTTAGCAGGAAGCACCTTGAGGAATGAGAGAGATCTAGGGAGGATGATTTCAATATGATGATGCAGTGTTTTTTTCCTTCCTGCATTCTGTATTTGTATCTCCCCTTTTCACATTGAGAACACATCTATATGTTTTTTCAATCTTGTAGTACCAAGTATTTAGATTCGCTATATTCATTTTAATAAAACAAACTCATCAAGTGAATGTCAGGATTTCTCTGCAGTGTTTTCCTTCTCTCTCCCCCTCTTTATCTGTTCTACTGAGGAGTGTATGCAGTTAAGACTATGTTGTTTAAAGTACTTGGATTCTTTTTGTGTGCTTTTGTAACAATTTTATGTATGGTTAGGTAAAGTGTTTCTGTTTGCATTTAATTTTTTCTATTTCTGTCTTTGTTGATGGTAATATACTTAGAAACAAATATATTTGTTATGAAAATTGACGGTAGATTATTACAGTATAAAACCTAAGGAAGCAAATGTTCAAAACATTCATCACTGGCTTTAAAAAATTTTTAAACATACAGAAGCAACACACTCACATTCTACTTTTCTTTCCCCCGCGATTCCATCTTTCTTGTGAACCCTTGAAATGGCTTTGTGTGGCTAAAGTCAGAATCAAAATGATGTCATTTTTGCATCTCACTAGCACTTTCCCACCGGCAGTAATGTTTTAAAATCTGATTTCTTTGCTCAAGTACCAGATGTAATTGTACTAATGAAAAATTTTCTTTTTTGATCCTTAGTGGGCTTGTCTGAATCACTAAAACTAACAAGTGGTCTTTTCACATTAATACTAAAATAAATGTATTATTTAAATTGTGTGTGCATTACATTAAAAATGCATAAATTGCCTTTCCCTCCCTGCTCTGCTGTGTCTGGCCTGCTGGCTCACACCTGCCACATCTCCCAGATGTGCTCTGATACCAGGCTCCACATTGTGAATGTCCAGAGCATGTGATCAGAATAGGCTCAGCTGTGCTTTGGCTTTTGGGGTCCCTTAGTTCTTTTGCTCCTCTTGCCTGGAAACTGACCCCATGATGTGTCCTTTTTAGGGTCCCAGCCACCCACTAGAGCCCCTCCAGGTGATGTGCCAGGTACCACTGACTAGTCTTACTTAGTTCAGGTATACTCATATGACTATCTGCCTTAAGACAAAAAACTCAGGGAGGTGGCAGCATGCAATAAAGAAGAGAACACAGGGCAAGGAATCAGATATGCCCAGGTGTTAATTCTGGTACTCACTAGCCCTACTGATGGGGACAAATCTTTCTTGATAATTCACTCCATTACCTCATTAGATCACTGGCTTATGATAAAAGGATATAACTCAGGGACAGCCAGATGGAAGAGATGCACAGGACAAGGTATGGAGAAAGGATGTGGAGCTTCCATGTCCTCTCCTAGTGCACCACTCTCCTCAAATCTTCACATGTTCACCAACTCAGAAATTTCCATTTATATATTTAATTTCTCACAGAAGTGTTTTATAGTTCAGTGTACTAATCTTGCATTTCTATTGTTAAATTTACTTTTAAATACTTTATTCTTTCTGATGCTATTATGAGTGGAATTATTTCCTTATTTTTGGATTGCCATCGCTAACATAAAGAAATATGATTTATTTGTGCATATCTTGGATCTTCTGGTATAGAATACTCTTTATTAGTTCTAGTAGCTTTACTGTGAAATCTTTGGGTTTTCTACATAGATAATGATGCAGTCTACTGAGAGAAACACATTTATTTCCTCCTTTCCAATCTGGATGAATGATTCTATCTGTCCCTTTCTATCTATCTATCTATCTATCTATCTATCATCTATCTATCTACCTATCTATCTATCAGCTTATTGTACTGTCTAGAACCTCTAGTTATAATTTTGAATAGAATTGGGGAGAGTGGAATCTTTGTTTTGTTCCAGATCTTAAGAGGAAAGTATTAAGTCTTTCACTATTAAGTATGATGTTTGCTGTATATTTTTCATAGATATCCATTACCAGTTTGAGGAAGTTCCATTTTATTTATATTTAATTGAGTTTTAATTATGAGTGGGTGTTATATTTTGTCAAATACATTTTCTGCATTTACTGAGTCTACTAATATGGTGTATTACATTACTTGATTTTCATATGTTAAACCAACCTTGCATTCCTGGATAAATTCCATTTGTTCATTCTTTATATCACTTCTCATATGTTACAGATTTTTTTCTAATATTTTATTAAGGATATTTGTATCTGTGTTCATGACGGATATTGGTCTGTAGCTTTCTTTATTTGTGTTTTCTTTTCATTCTTTTCTATCTTTGTTGTTAGGGTAATACTAGTCTCAGATAATTATCTGTGCGATGTTTCCTCTACATCGTGAAAGAGTTTGAGAAGAATTAGTATTACTTCTTTTGTGAATATTTTGATAGAATCCACACTTGATGCCATCCTGCTTGGAGTTTTCTCCATGGGCCCATTTTAAATTTCTAATGCAGAATCTTAAATTGCTTTAGGTCTTTTCAATCTTCCTATCTTCTTGAGGCAGTTTTAGCAATTTGTTTCTAAGAATTTTTCCATTTCATCAAAGTTGTCTAACCTTTTGGCCAAGCTCACCTTTTTGTGCCAGGTGATATCATAGATTATTGCTCAGGCTTGGACTGATCCTCCTTGGCATCCACTCATTTGTGGCTATGGAGGGATACAGTGCCACTGTACAAAGCAAAGTCGCTAAATGTTTGTCCCATTTGGTAGAGACTAGGAGAGAATATAAGTAAGGCATTTTTCTTTGGTAACTGTGGGCTGGAAAACATTCTGAATTTAGTTCTATCCAATATACTAGTTTAACATTTCAGCACAAATTCTTGTACTTACTCTTGGATTGGGGACTTTGTAGTGTTGAAATAGCATTTGAAAGTGGAAGATTTATCACTGTTGTTCTTGTAGTGATGAACTCAGTCTTCGTGGCACCTTTGGCTGTAGATCCTAATTATGTAAAAAAGAATGAGTAGCCATCAGGGGGGTAAACAATCACGAGATCATATCATTAATATTAATATAAACATCAGTTACAACTTGAAGATTAGTTACTTAAAGTCTTCTGATCAAGATATAGAAATCCAGTGTTTTGATGTCTGTCTTTTGGTGAGTCAGTTAACTATATTTTTAGAAGTGGAGGGACATGAGACTCTCCTACATGTCTGATATAGGTTATTTCACTTGATCATAACAGTAATCCTATGAATTAAGTAGTAATTATGATCATAATTTTACGTATGATTCTGAAAAATTATATAATTTTTCCACAGTCACAGAGAGCCAAACCTTTCTGATGTAAAACTTAGTTGCTCAGCTACCCTAGAAAGGGGGTGGTAAGGCAGTAGTAGTAGTTGAAAGTGGTAGTATGATTCCCATGCTGTCTAGGAGAGAATGTTCAGGTAGGTGGAATAGCAGGGAGGAGAGAGATAACAAGAACTAAACAGAATAAACTTTTAATTATATTTAGTTCATTTTGGGGGGGCAAAAAGGAAATTCAGCAACAAAGAAAAAATAAGCTGAGTTTTCAAAAATAGCATTGGAATAAGATTACTTTAAATAATCTATATTTGCACAAATATTATAAAACAAAATGATTGATGACCTTCAGTCTTTTCAAAGTCTAGCATGGGGAACATTGAGTTAGTAAAGAAAAGATAGGCATGCTGGTTAGTGCAAGCTTAGTGTTAGCTAGATACGATGTTGGCTGGAGATGGCGGGGAGACAGTTTAATAGACTCCTACCACAAAGAGGTCTGGAAGCCTGAACTGCTGGTGCCTTCCAGAAGTGCCAATCAGCTTTCATTCTATGGCAAGAAGCATCTATAGTGTAATGCAAATTCTTAGTGCACTTGAGAGATTCATGCTGGAAGTTTGCAGGAAGTTTGCAGGAAGACCTCATAGACAGTGGGTAAATATGTCTTCAGGCAAAAAGCCTTTAGAAATTGGTATGCTAAAGAAAGTGCATAAATTTGAATAGAGGCTATAGGATTAACACTGCATATGAGAAAGAATGAGTGAAAATGGTCACCAACTTCAGAGGAATCTTGATTAAATTGAGAGGGAAATACTTGAGGAAGAAAAGAAATGTCTTATTATATAGGGAAAGCAGAAATTGATCTTTGTAATAGTATGGAAGTGGGAAAGGTACAGAAACTCAACATTTGAGGATGGAGGAACATGGGGATAAAGATCTTGCTTTTCACTGGAACTCCAAGGACATATGCTTTGAAAACATGAGAATAGGAGTTCTTCTTCAGAAATCTTCAGAGAAGAATTCTTCTGCTGAGCTAAACTTGGAAACCATGAAAAAGCTATCCTGATGGGCTAAAGAATTCCCTCGTATAAAGCAGACTCAACAGTCTCGGTGATGGGAGAAAATAGAATGTATACCTAAGGAAGATGTGAGGAGCTGCCAGTTTATGAAAATACAAAGAGAAAAGGAGAATAATGGAGTAGCTGGGGGTACAATCCCCCAAATTTTATTTAGAGAATTGCTTATTATTAATGTGGAATATACTTCACAAATGAGAATAGAATTAGAGCCCACACTCAATTCAGGACAGGTTGTCAATTACACATGTCAATTAGGCCATGGAAGGAGACAGGAATGTTTTGAAAGTGATCCAAATATTTAGAAGTATTCATGGTGGACTATGAAAATAGAATAGAATGAAAGATGTATTGAATGAAAAGTGAATAGAATGAAAAATGTGGAGACTAACGCTACCACAGGCATAAATTTTCAAACTTTACTGGTGTACTAAATATTTCAAATCCTAATCTCAGAAGAAAAGAAAATGAGTAACCTACATTTATTAAAATATGAGAATCATAGTCTTATATTAACATCTTCTTGGGAAAATGTTCCCAACTGCACCTCAGGTTCACAGGCAGTAGATTCTGGACTTCTGCCAAGAAGTGATTGACACCTCAGAGCAAAAGGAAACCAATCTCAAAGCTGTTCTTTAAACTTATACGGTTTGCTCTCTTTCAGTTTTTCTGTCTGGCCATTTTCCCCCAGAAAACACTGTATATCAGCAGTGGTCTACAGGTGTGACTCACACTGTTAAGCCTAGGTAATAATATATGTATTATATTTGACAAACATTATTTTGCTTGAGCAATACTAATTTAAATCACAGCGTCAAGATAATAGTGGCTTTACCTTTAGGACTTGTGTTTTTGAAATTTATGTCCTTTCAAGTCTTAGAATTTGATACAGGTGGAATGTATGAAAGACAAAATATGAGGAATTTTTAAACCATATTGAACTTGGAATAAAGAATCAAACACAAGAGATGCTTGAGAAAGTCTCATCGATACCAGAGTGTAAATGCAGAGAAGAGACTTTGACTCCAACCAGAGCCCTAAGTTAGAACCATTGGCTAGAACTAAGCAGAATGAGGAATATGGGCTGTTTTAAAATTTGTCTTGGTATTATCAATGTGAGATTCATGTTGTATGTTTTGGGAGGTTAGATTTCTGGGAGTAAGCAACAAATGTGAACTTTAATTATATTAGGAATTTAAGGTGTGTTTACAACGGACTGACTTGAAAGGGAGGATTTATGGAGTTAAATCGCGAAGCAAAGGGGATTAAGCAGCTTTATTCCTTTGAAATTACATAATTTGACTTACAGTATTGTTTTGTCCAAGATGCATAACAAAAGCTTCTTGTGTGGTCACTTTGTCTTCAGAAATAGAATATGGGATAATTGACTTTTTGACGAAATCAACATTTACTAAAACATATGCTATAGAATACTAGTACTTTGGTTTTTTTTTTTTTTTTTTTTTTTTTTTTTTTGTTTTCCGGTCCGCGGGCCTCTCACTGTTGTGGCCTCTCCCGTTGCGGAGCACAGGCTCCGGACGCGCAGGCTCAGCGGCCACGGCTCACGGGCCCAGCCGCTCCGCGGCATGTGGGATCTTCCCGGACCGGGGCACGAACCCGGATCCCCTGCATCGGCAGGCAGACTCTCAACCACTGCGCCACCGGGGAAGCCCAGAATACTAGTACTTTGGTATGTTACTTTGTTTATGTTAAAAAACACTTTTATAGTCAAATTATTTTGGAGCTGCATAGATTCTGAAAAAACATCAAATGAATGTCTTTGTGTTAGGATTACTGAGAATTTTTACAGATGTTATTGTGCATTGTAAAACCCTCTGAGGGTAGTATTTTCTAAAACAATTGCCCAAGTAGCTCCATTTTCAGGGATCATTTTATGGGCTAGTGCTTCATAGAAATTATGTACCCATAACAATGAGGGTAGTCTGGGGTAAAATTAATTAATATCCTGATTCATTTAAGTGACTTCTGAGGTAATATTAAAGAGCCCATAGAAAGACTGTGAAGGGCCTAAATGTTTATACCAACGATCCTAGGAAGATGTGTCAAAGCAGTGGCAAAGAATGGAAAAGAAGCTTCTTGAGGTTTTGCTCAGGTTCTTCTGAACGCCTCCACTGGCGTGAAAAGCAATACCTCAGAATGTAAATAAGTTAAAATGCTAAACCCAAGGGGAAAAGGTGTGAAGGAATGTCGGCCAAACACCTGAACAATTCAGAGAACGTAAGACGTCGTTCTCTCCAGTACTCACTCCTGAGTCAGAGGAGCTCAGATCATGCAACCAGACTATCCCGGGGTCCCCAAAGGTTCTGGAGAAGCCCAAAATGGTGCTGGTGAAGGAATGTACGTAAAGTAGGACTATAGCTTTCAGTGGGAGACAAGAAGAGGGGAAAGTTTTATTTCTATATAGATTTAAATTTCTTTTTCCTTTCCCATATTATTTAGAGGGTAGATTAAGGTGGGCATTAAGGGTCCCTTGGAATTGCGTGTTTAGCAATGTCCTACCTCTTGCAAAACCATCAAGTACCATGTAGTATGACCCCAGGAAAGTAGGCCACAGCAGACTGCTGAGAGCTCCCTGCTGTTTAGGCCTGGCCTAATAAGGTGTTGAGGTGTCTCCAGATTTATCCATTCTCTAACCCAATTCACCAAGGTAAGCTCATATAGGAACTTGGGACTGATCCTAGGTCATGAATAAACTTATATCTGTACTTAGAGTGGCTTTTTACATTATATATCCCCCAAATCAAGTGGGTTGAGGTATTTGGTGCCCTCGGAGCAATGTAGTAATTTTTTAATCCCTTCGTTCTTTCTTAGAGACCTCACTAACAAATAGATGTTGACCTTCTACTTCCTTAAAATCTATTTTAAGAGTGTTTCTTGGAGCCAGAGCAAATATTGGTAGGAGCTTCTTCTTTATTTTCTCATATCAATTGATCCTATTTACCCATGAGTTCTTCACATATGAAAAATCATCAACAGTGCTTTTGGGGACATTAAAAGCTTCTCAAACATTTGAGCTGCCCCTTTGGAAAAACTGTAATTAACAATTACAGATGAGGTTATTCCCAGCTTAGATGGAGGGTGAAAAAGAATTGCTTTGTTTCTTTTCCAGTTGTAGAACACATTCATTACTTATGTTACTATGAATAGAATTTAACTAAACAGAACAATGACTTATTTCAGTAAATTTTAACTGTACTACTAAAGTCCTAAGGGTTCAGTAGGGAAGCCTCACAGGCTTGGTGGTAAGAGAGAGAAATGGCTAGCAGTCCACCCTGCACATACCACCACACTGCTTCAAAGTGGGCGGTTCAACTTCTATTTGTCTGATATATTCACATTCTGGACTTTCGCAAAAGATTTTATGAGAAACGTTTCTGCTAATTACAAATAATTTAGACAACAATTAATTGCATTAATTATGAGGGTCCTAAAATCAGACATTGTCTGACCACACTGAAGGTAAGATGAACAGCATCAGAGTAGGCAGAAATAACAAGATCTTGTGTTATTGTGAAAGTCATGTGCTAATAATGTTTCTATACTATGCTCAAGAATATCACCTTTCACTTGGACTGATTTACTCTTTTTAAAACACAA